TTATAAGTGTTGCCTCTAGGGTTCCTTTTTCCAGAGACCCCCCAGGATTAACACAGCCCGTTGTCTGATTCAATATCAAGTGAACTTTAATAGTAAATCCCTAGGCTTTATTACAAGTTTCCTCCTTATAATACAATCTGGCAAGCAGCTCCTTCAGACGTTACAACAGCGACCTTCGGTGGTACCGGCCTCAGATCCTCTGCTGGGTGTATGGGGTGTCAGTGTCTGGATTCCTCGTTGTTCAAAGGAAGAAGTCCAAGGCTGCTCCTGTCTCCCCAGGGTGGCAACAAACACACACAGTCTCTTTGTTTGTCCACTACTTTTGTAACTTTTTCATCTCAAACTGTCCAATCCGCACCTCATCTTTTTAGATAAGGTACTCTAATCCTATTCTGTTTTTGGTTTCCTTTCCTTCTAGGGAAACTACTGTACCTGGTTAGCCCATCATACGAATCACAGCACTCACTTTTCCCAGTGCCTGATAAGGCAGTCTGTACAATTTAATTGCTTAGTTCTAAGAAGGCCCAAAGTTATGCCAAGAGCCTGAGCATAACTCAGTTTGCCCGCTACAGTAAGCTCTAAATATATGGGAGAATGTCAATATTACACGCTGTGGTAGTATGCAGATAAATGTGGTACACTTGGTTTCAGGAATGTGCTACCTGTTGAACATGGAAGATAGTCACTGAGTATGGTCAATCCCGTTGTGTTTCTCAGAATGCTGAGGGCCCTGACAGCCATATTAAACGGAATATATTTTGTTAAAAGACAGGGCTGATACTGCTATGATCCCAAGAAATTCATCTGTCATTAGAGGAATCTCAAAACTCAGCATGATTGGATGGGGTTCAAAATCTCTAGTGTGCGTAGGATAAAACAGAGTTTCTGTTTAGTGCATAAAATATTCTGCCCCCATTCAATTGACATAGCTGATGATCCAGAGAATAGATTTTCTTGCAAATTTTAAAATTATGGATTCCATTTTTATTTTGAGATCTGTCTGTGGTCCCAATGCACACAATGCAACACTTTATCATTTTTTTTTTTGTAAACCTCTCTGAATTTGCGAAATACCATTATATTTTGGAGGAAGACTGGAATTGAATATTTGAATACTGTCATTGATAGGTCTCATGCCCCTCTATCCATTAAATCTAATTCTAAGAAAATCGGTAAAAGTTGTCAAACCTAGGTTTGGTAGATTTTAGCAAATAATGAATCCAGCAATGAGAGGTTATAGAGGTTGTTTGTTTGTTTTTCTTTATCTTTTTTTTTTTCAATGCCTCATTGTGTATATTCTAGAAGTGACTATTTGTTAATTTCTCAAGGGACATTTGACTACAGTTAATACCTCTATTGGCTCTGTGACTGTCTAGGACTGTGCTGAGTTGGAGTTTCAGCTTTCTGGAAGATAGACCAGCTATAAATACCTATTGGTGACTCAACACCTCCCTGTTGAATTATTATAACTTTGAAGCATTAATTCTAAAGGAGTTCAAAACTGTTATGGAGCTTAATCAGCCTACTGCTTCCTATGCTTTAGTATTATGTGAAAATGCTAGAATTTTCTTAAAGGGCTTACAGTATCTAAATTTTATAAGAAAATATAAGTCTTTAGATGAGGATTGTCGCAAATCTTTTGCCTGATTAAACTACACATCCTTACCAATATAAGATATGAATTGGGGGGAAAAAACTTCCAGAAGGTGGAGTGTGTTTTTTATAAATTATGCCAAGATTATTGGGAGTCAGGTAATGTGCAGGAAGCAAATGGACTAAAGAGTAAATCCAACCTTATGAAATATCAGCTATAAGAGACTGAACGTTCATCAAATTGGTTTATAGTTAGAACAATTGATAGAATCCTTGCCTGCTTTAGGAATTACAGAAATAATAGCTTCACACAAAGTGGCTAGTAGTGTACCTTGGTTTTTTTCTATCATTGTATATATTCAGTGATTGAGGTAATATACAATGTATCTTTACATTTTTATTATAAAACTTCACAGGAAATCCATCACTGCCTGGAGATTCATTATTGTTCATATCCTTTAAGGCCACAGTTATTTCACCTAATGACAAAGAAGCCTTTGATATTTCCTTCTCCATCTCAAAAATTTGCTGTATGTGTATTAAGTCCAGGAATCTATCTGTTTCCTCCTTAATAACATTCAAATTCTTCTTGTACAAACTGGAAGAAAATTGACTGAACTGCTGGTTGATTCGTCTCCTGTGTTATATACCAAAACTCTGAGAAGTTTTTCAGTGTTATATTTCAGGCTCTGAACAAATGAGGCAGTTCAGCAAAATCCTTATGGGGGGTACGTTAATGTTTTAGAAAAGAACGTCTCACATTGCCTAATTTGCCTGTTATGTAGTATACCCATTATAATCCCCCAATCCTGTTTTGTTAAAAACAAGCAAATGTTCAACAGGTTTCTGTGGGAAGAGGACAAAAGGGCTTGACTTCCATCAAAAACGATGTAACTACCAATTGAAATGAGTGGCTTTCATCTTCCAAACCTTTGATGTTATCACAATGCCTTTTTAGTAAGTCAGACTATGTATTGGGTGACTGATGTAACTGATAACTCTCCTGTATGGGTGGAAATTGAAGCATAACACTGATACCTTTGGCAAATACATATGTTCTTGGGCATATCCCCAAAGGATTCAAACCTTCCAAATTGCACTCTTGCAGTAGACCTTATTAATGACATGCAGGATTATTATGGTGAATTGGAAAAGTAGGACCAAGGTTGAAATCTGGTACCATGAGATGGCACAGCTGGCATCCATGGAGAGAATCATGTTTAGCAGGCTCAGCTGCTTTGAAAAGTTTAGTGACATTTGGAAGGAATTATTGGAATATTTTGGTAACTAGATTGTTGCTCTTTGCATGCTTCTCTTCCATCCCTCCTTTTTTTTATTCCTTTTTGTTTGTGACAAATATATCAACTGCCAGCCCAAACTATTTTTGTGGTTTTGTATTGCCTTAAAAAAAAACCCAACAGAAATCAAGTGAAGAATTCAAACCCAAGTTGCCAGCTTGGTACTTCCAGACCCTTGACAGTCGAATCCAGCTAGTAGCAACCAGGGACAGGGAAAAATAAACAAGCCTAAATACTGGGTACACATGCATGTGGGTGCTATGAATAGTACACAGCTGACTACCACTCTCTGAAGAACAGTCAACTTTTAAGAGGAGTCTTGTTCAGTGTATTACCTAGATCTCAGAAACATGAGGTGCTGACTGGGCTTTTTTGAATGCTCAGGGAAGAATTCAGCCTGCTTCACCACTTCTAGGGAGATGATGATTGCAAAGAAAGGCATTGAGCAGTGAACACAGCATGCTCCCCTCACAAAAAGGTATGTCATTCAGCAGGATATCCCATCTGCAGTGAATACTGATACTTACAGTGTTAGCTTTAACTCTGTAGCTTCTTCCTCCCTTATGAGAGGATGGGTGTCTGGCTGATACAGACCTTATAGTTGAGCTACTAAGGGCTGCGTGGCCATGTTGTGATTGACTGTGACTCAACACTGATGTTGTACAATATGTGGAAATACCAGAATACCTCACTCTCCAGAATCTTTACACCAATTTTTACACGTTTCCAAGCTTTTTTTCCTCCTTGTACCTTTTTATGTAGAAGGGCTGTTACTGTCTTGCTTTGGCAGTCATCTTAGTTTTCTTACAGCTTTTCAGAGTTTCTAAAATCCAGCTTAAAAAAAAACAAATGAAGGAAACCTGAGGAGCACACAGGTCATAAAGTATGTTTTTTATAATTAGTATTTTTATTATTTTTTTAAAGGTTTTTGTTGTTGTTTGGTTCAACTTTACTTAGGGTTGAAGCTTTTCGTGATGCAGCATCTGCTATGGAACAAGAAAAGGAAATCTTGCTAGAAATGATTCACAGTATACAGAACAGCCAAGATATGAGAAACATCAGTGAAGGTAAGAGTCTGCGTATTCCTAAGTTCTTATTTTAAGCCTGTTTTGAAAAAAAACAATACAACTCCAAGTCTAAGTAGGCTGTGTTTTTAGGGGCAGCTTAGTTGAATTGCTTACCAAATGGTGTTGAAACCACATTTAATGTCAGCCTGCCTGAGCCAACTAAAGCTACTTAGGTTGCTCCTATTACCTTGATAGCCACTTACACTTGGCTCCTCAAGTTCACACCTCAGTTCACCTGAGGGGCCAGCATCACCATCATCATGTATGTACACATTGTATTTTTATCACACCTAGCCTAGCACTTCCTTACACATGTCCCAAACGGAGGAGGACTCTTGGAAACTAGATCTGGTCAGGAGTATTGAATAAAATGGGGGGGTGGAAAATATTGTTTTGTTGAAAACAAACTTTTCATGGACATGTAGCGGTTTAGATGAGCATTCTGCAGGGAAATTTCTCAGGCTAGGGTGGAATCCTAGTCAGAACAAGAGGGAGAGGCCAAACTCACCCAAAATGGGCAACAAGGTAACTGGGTTGCCTTAGTTATTGCCAGAGTATGACAAAGTGCATGTATCCCTTGATTCAAGCCCAGGGATCTGGATTTGCTAGATCCTAGGCAGGAGCCCTAACCACAAAGCTATTAGCTACCCTGGGGAATCTGTGCGTGTGTCCCTTTTTTGTGAAACATTCGTTGAAGTGAGGGCCGCCGGCAGGGCTGGGGAGCAGGGGACTGCGGGTCAGGAGTGAGGGGCACCGACAGGGCTGTGTGTTGGAAGTGAGGGGAGGCTGGCAGAGTGTGGGGGGCAGGGGCTTATGAGTGAGGGGCAGAGGCAGGGCATGGGCATATCACTGCTCCCCCCCACATTCAGGTGTCCTCTTTTTTGATGCTGGAAATATGATAACCCTACAGAACAATACATGATGTATGGGCCTTGGCCCACTTTATTAAAAGTCAAGCAAGGAAGTGTTATGTTCATCATTAGTGGCAGTCCTTAGAGCTTCACAATAAAGACTAAGTTCTCTCAAGCAGCTGTTAGGTAGTTAGCCACTTAAAAACATGCACACCTTGCCAGTGGCAACCTTGCAGGTTATCACCTTGTTTTTAAGTATCCCTTTCTGGTAAAGTTATTGAGAAGATGTTTGATTTTGTTCGTTCATTTGTTTGTTTGTGTTGCTGTTTAAGCTAGTGTTAAGTAGCTCCCAAACTTGGCTGATTCATTAATGGTTGCAGCTTTGCAGAGAAACCTCAAAGTAGGTCTAGGTTCACTTTGTTCATTTGCCCTGAAAAAATTCTCATTCTTCATGATAATCCTGTGAATAAGTGGCTATCCATTTTCTCTAAAGTACAGTTTCTTTAGGCAGTTCAGGGTCAAATCTTTAGAGCAATCCTGCAGTTTCATTCTATTAACAAAAAAAATGATGATAATAAAACCTGCCAGTCTACACAGTCTCCCCAGGCCTAGTTGTTCTAATGCATAGTATCCACAAACTAATGCAATAACATCATAAGCTGTTATTTATGTCCACCATTTTACATAGAATTTTCTAGGGGTACACCAGTAGAGATTTTGGGGGCCGATAGCTGATATTTAAGGAGACACATCAGCCAATACCAATCCAATATCCAATACAGCTGCCATTAGCTGGTAAGTCAGGTGTGGTGGAAGGGGAGAGGGGAGGAAAAGGGTAAGGGAGGGGGCAGAGGCAGGCACTGCCCAGGTGGGGTGGGGGGCAGGGCATGGGACAGCTGCTTGCACCCTTGGGGAGGGGCATGTGCCCCCAGATTTGCATAGCGCGGGGCAGGCGGCAGCTGTGGGTTGGAGCCAGAGCCAGCGCTGTGTGGCTGTTCTTGCTGGGGAGGAGGCTGCAGCCATCCCAGATCTTGCCGCAGCTCCGCTCCCAACCCTGCACCACTTTAGCCCTGACTGAACCCCCCATCTTCACCCAAGCACTGAGAGAAGCCAGGGCTGCAGCAGGCGCTGAGCAGCAGTACAGGGCTGGGAGTAGAGGTGCAGCGAAATTTGGGGTGACTGCAGCCTCCTCCCAGCACCACTGGATCCCACTTCAAGCCCAGTTCCCAGCAAGAAGAAACCCACACAGTGCCAGCTCTGCCTCCACGCTGCAGCTGCTGCCCGCCCCATGCTGCACAGATCCAGGGGCACACACAGCCCTCCCAGGGTGCAAGCAGCAGCAGGAGCCCTCCCAACCCCATGGACCATAGCTCCTTCCCACCCGCCCCCCCGGCTGGGCAGTCCTTGCCCCCTCCCTCACAGCAGGGGTCATTGATCTGCTTCCCCATGCCCCTTCCCTCCCAACCTTCCCTTCCCCCTTCCCTTCTGATTTACTAGCTGGAGGCAGCTCTCCATGCTGCTGGCTCTGCTCGTGCTGTGCTGCAGCTGTGCGCAGCACAGGCATTTATTGGCCAAATTATTGGCCCCCTAGGACTGATATCTGATATAGACAATTTTCTTCATATCGGTACCAATCTGATATTGGACCGATGTATTGGTGCACCTCTAAAATTTTCCTCCTCTTGTAGCTTTGGTAGAAATTTACATACATACGGTGATTAGAATAGCTTTGTTCATACTTTCTATATCATCAAGACAAAGAGACACCAAGTACTTTCCATGAAAGTAGCAAACTTATATTCAGCTACAATTCTGTTTGAGCAAAAGCAGCATAAATGCCTGATTTGCAGTGATAAAAATAAGGTTTTACAGGTTTTTTAACTTCTGTTTGCATCGTGGACCCAATGGACTTTATATTAGAGACCTGAATTTTTTCCCATTTTTCACAACAGTGCACTAAGGTCCACTTAGTGACACTCATACAAGCCAGCTGAAAGAATGAGATTTACTGGTGAGAACCCAGTTTGATACTCAATTGCCAGGTCCTGATTACAGGGCTGGCACGTAGGAAACAAAAATCTATTTATAAACTGGAGACTGGATGCACACCTTGCTGGGGTTATTTGACCCCAGCAGTCTTTCCTGCCCAGAGCAGGTAGGCTGGATCCCATGATCTCATGAGGTCTCTTCCAGCCCTAAACTTCTGTGAATCTGTGAAGACATTTGGTCTTAAACTGTTGAAAGAGAAATGCAAGATTCCACAAAAACTTTTTAAAATTCACTTTTTAGAGTAGAATTACCCTTTAAACTTCCTGTTTCACATTTAAAATAAATTTGTCATTGCAAACTGACAGTCTTACCTGCTATTAGTTATATGTGTAAATAGTTTGCATCTGAAATAGCTGGCTCATAACCCAAAATGTTGTGTGTTGTTTTATTAAACAGGTGAAAGAGAAGAACTTAATCTGACTGCCAGTCGTCTGATGGGCCGAACCCTGACTGTTGAGGTGTCTGTGGAAACTATAAGAAATCCACAGCAGCAGGAATCCCTATCACATGCTACAAGGATGATTGATGAAATAGTCGATAAACTTCTGAATGATTTGGAAGATTCCAGAAGCCATTTAATGACGCTTTATGGTGCATGTACATCTGATATACCATCTGTACCTATTGATCAGAAATTTCAGTCTGTTGTTATTGGATGTGCTATTGAAGATCAGAAGAAAATCAAAAGGAGACTAGAGACTCTGCTTAGGCATATTGAAAACTCTGACAAGTCAATCACATTGTTAGAGCATCCAAAATCAACCCAACAGCCCTGTAACAATAAACAGGATTAAAACAACTCTAGCTCCCATTTTGACAGATAAAAATTAAGTCTCTATACAAAGCATACAGAAAGCTAAAAACATTTACTTTTAAAACACTAAACTAACAGTACTTTTGGGCACAAACATTTAATAGATGTTGGTAACAGTGTCTTAGATAACACCAAGAAAGAAGATACTTTTCTTTTGAAATGAAAAATCCAAGATCTAAGAATTCTGTTGAGCTTGCGCCTGTAGCTTAAACATCATTGGTACTGCTACTGCAAACGGTGACACGCATCTGCTAAACTAAAGCTAGTCAGAATCAAGCCTTTTCTTTTTCTCCTAACTTCTTACAAACTTGAATTTCTTTGTCATGTATTGAAATTTAACCTAGCAAAATTTGCTGTTGGTGAATTCACTGTGCATGAACCTGCTTTATGGGGGAAAAACAAGTCACTGCAGTAAACCAGAAAAAAGGTTGAGCTGCAGCACAGCATGCTTCTCTGTAATGAGTATAACATAGTGCTAATTAAAAGTTGATGCATCTTATCAGTAGATCAGGATGCTTTATAGAAAAGGCTAAGTATCCTCCCCGATTTACAGCTGGAGAAAAGAGCAGTGAAATAACCCATCTCACACAGTAGACAGAGGATACAAGCAAGCTCTGTTCACTCTCAATTCTACACCAAGTTCACTGGACCATGTTGCCTCCTAGAGTGTCTTATAACTAATGTTAATTGTGAAGTTTCTGTGGTTTGATGTCAAAATAACTTCTAAGAAGAATGTGTGTTCTATAAACTGATTTTTGTGCAGCAAATCCTTTGTTTTCTGTTAACCGCCTATGAAAGCGTAACAGAAGTGAAACATTCCAGAAAAATTAGATTCCTTTTTGATGGCAGCAGTTGCTGCTCTCTTATGAAGTCAATGTGAGTTGCTTTTAGTTATGCCGAAGTGGAATATGAGCCATATTTTGAACAAAACAACCACGTATTTCACTTCTGTCATTGGTGCTTCCATTTTGAGAACAAGGCTCTTTTATTAATTTATTTATAAGAGCCTTGCTCTTACATATATATAAAAAAAATCTGCCCAGTCCCACACTTGTCTGCTTAATACCAAGCTCTAGCCAAAGGTTAACTATCAAACAAAATGGGTAGAGCTGGATGAGGCTTTCCAACAAATTCCAGTTAGTCAAATACAAAAATACTGTTGGGTCAGCTCCTTACTGGGGACCTGAGTCATGTCTGGAACCAACGCTTCTACAGAAATAGGAGCCTTGGTTCCAGACATGGCTCAGCTCTCCAGTAAAGAAACAGTGCTTTTGCGCTTTATGAGCTCCCTGCTGCAGACCTAGGAGCAGGGGAGAAAAATGATCTCAGGACTTCTGAACTGCACTATGACAGTAGCATGTCCCAGCCTGCCTGATCCTGAGGAGGTGCTGCCCACCTTTTCCTACTTACCCTTCAAATTGGGGAATATACCTCTGAAGCTGGGTCCAGGGCCAGCTTGTATTTTGGCAGCCTTTCTTTGCATTTAAGTAAGTAGTAACATTGGTGAGTTTCAGAAATAAAGCCCCGGCTGAGGTGGACTGGGAGACTTGCTTCCCTGTAGGCAGTTACCACTGGTGCTGTGTGGGAGTAAGGCAGACAGACTGGAGCAGGCACCACCTCACCTGCATGTGCCTGCCCTGGCTCCTCCTGAGCAGTGGTTGGAGATGGGAGTGGGCTGAGCTGGGCACTGCTCCTCCTGCCCAGGGCAAGGGGGGACTGCTGCTATGAGCATGGACTGCTCACGTGTGTGCGTGCGTGTGCACACGCACAAGTGTGTGGGGCACCCCCTGACTACAGTGCCTTGGGTGGTCATCCACCTGTAAGACCAGCCCTGGATCATCCCCAATGGCTGTTCTCAAGCACATGGGAGATTGAGGTCTCAACTAACTGCAGAGCACAACCTGAAGCAACCTCACTGGCTGTTTCCAAGTTCGCAGCATGTGAGTAGGAGTGGGAGGTTGGGGTGTATATGGAGTTGCTGTAGCTAGGATTCACTGCCACTGTGATGTTGACATACCTCAGTGCCTGGGTCCTTGGCTTCACTGCAGGGAAACTGGAAGCCTTGAGATACCCCAGCTAGGGGCAGGGCTTTCAAGAAATGTCTATAATGTATTCTGGTGCACTGCACAGATACCTGCAAAGCAGTCTAACTGCAGTAGCACAGGGTGAACTAGCTTATGTGGAGCTCTATCTCATTTAAAGTTAACTTGGATATCTCTACACTACATGTTATTGTATTGAGCAGTGCGGACAGTTTTGGAGCATCCAGGCTGTTGCTGCAGAACAGGAATTGCTGGCATAGGCTTCTTGTATCTGCAACTCTGGTGCAGCTATGTGGCAGCTAGGCCCCCCCAACTGTAGACTCTAAAAGCCCCAGCAACTGCTGCCAGAAATTGATATTTTTGTCCATTTCAGCACCACTAAAAAGAGAGAGAATATTAAGTTTCAGGCAGCTAAAGTCCAAGGGAGTGGGACTGATTATAGGAGTGCCAAGAGTGGGCTTTCCAAAGCAACTTTTGTGAGAAATTAAAATGTTTAGACCTGGATTAGAAAAAACTCAATTCCAAAAGAATATAGATTTTGCTGCAGCCCAAAAGTTGTGGCTATCTGTTACTGAGTTGTGGCTACCTGTTACTTTTAACAAGAAACTGCAGAGTTCTTTCTCCCTTCTGTTTGACTGGAGTGGGGGCTCTGCAAAGGCAGACTCCAACAATAACGCTATTCTGCATCACCCAGGCTTATTCCCAGTTCTCTCACTTCAGAACACAGTTACGTTGGTGAAAATGCCTTGGGTCTGCTCACACACAGAGGTCTTACTGGTCATAATTCATCTTATGCTTGATCTTTGTCCTTCATGGCAGCTATTAAAAATACATTTGTAACAAAACTTGTACAATCTTCTCTAAATAAAAAATAATAGTTTTTTGAGAGGAATGAAATATAAAACAACTCATTTAACTGCACTTATCAGGTATAACACACAGTTCGTGGTTTTGTTCACAGAGACCATACATCACACTACAAATAAGATTGTATTAGATGCAATGAAAATGCTTGATTTACTAGGTTACTAGTATATTAGCCAGCTTTCTAGTGTTTGTCCCATACTTCCTAAACTTAATATCAGAACTACATGTTGTAGGTAGCAAACCCCCATAGTACCCTTTCCTGCGCTTTTTTAGTTAATGTAATGGTCCACGTGTATTTAAGATCCTGCAGTTCTCAGTTACTGCAAACTTTAAAACAAGTAATACCGTCTTTACTGTTTAATGGCACCTGCCCACATACCCCTTCACCCAATGTAATCTTCTAAACACTATAGTCATGTGAATTGGCCCACCAGGTTTCATTAATGCCAATTATTTCAAATTGCTTCTAATCAACAAATTTCCATTCTCTTGTTACCCACCCTAGATGCATTTCTTTCCTTATATTCTTTGCCACTTTGTTTCAGGTTACTTGCCGTATGCTATATTTTACTTTATATCCTTTGTTATCTTAACACCCTGTTTTCCTGTTGATAATCTAATGTCCTCTTGGCTATATTACAACTACCCACCAGCCAAGATTAGACTGGCTACCTGAGATAGATTTCCTTCCGGGCTGTCTCGGTGAAAAGGGCGCTGCCCTGGAACGGACTATGGAGGCTCTGGGTTTTGGTTTCTGCCCCTTCATTGTAAAACCTTTCTACCTTGATGGGGCAGGTGCTATCTATCCCACTGTTTTCTATCTGGTTTATGCAATGACTATTAAATACAAAATGTAGAAACAGCACTGGGGACAAGAATCCCAAGGCTCCTCCCTTCAAAAGCAGTGATCATCTCAGAGAGCTACATTCCCTCTGGCTCCAGGCAGTCAGGACATTTTCCTGGGGAGTAAGGAATAAAGGCTTATGGCCCTGCGTGCATGGGAAGCTAAAATATAGTTCCCCCATTTCTTACACAAGTGCCTACTAGACTAAACTGTCCAATTTACGAGTGACTAGGGGCCACACGCCCCACTGGCCACACCAATGAGGGCCAGATATGCTGCATTGGCTGTACCAGGGCAAACCACAGGTTTCCAGGCTCTGTGAATGCTCCTATTGCTGCCATTTGGGTATTCCTCTCTGCTGTATCATCATATACCCATGTGGACACCCCCCCACCCACTGCGGCACCGTGTATCTGTACAGTCCCAGATTCACTCTCATTTCCCTGTGTGCCACATTGACCCGGCCCCCGTCTTCACAGACAGGCTCGCTAACCTATGAAGGGCTTTAAACTAGGTTTGCTGGGGGATAGAGACCAAAACCCTGAGGTAAGTGGGGAAGTAGGGGACCTGGAGGAAGAGCAAGCAAGAAGGGGCACCAAGGGAGGTGCTGAGAAATCAGGGCAATCAACTAGGTACCTCAGGTGCCTTTACACGAACGCATGAAGCCTCAGAAACAAGCAGGAAGAACTGGAAGTCCTTGCCCAGTCACAGCACTATGACATGATTGGAATAACAGGGACTTAGTGGGAGCACTATCATGGATGGGTACAAATTGTTCAGGAAGGATAGGCAGGGAAGAAGAGGAGGAGGAGTTGTAATTTATATAAAAGAGCCATGTGCTTGCTCAGAGCTCCAGTAGGAAGCTGGAGATAGGCCTGCTGAAAGTCTCTGGGTTAAGGTTAGAAAGGAGAGCAACAAGGGTGATGTTCTGGTAGGTGTTTGCTATAGACCAGCAGACCAGGAGGAAGTGCTGGTTGAGGCTTTCTTCAAATACCTAGTGCAAGGGTCGGCAACCCCCAGACGTGTGCTGAGCATGGCACGTGAGGCCATTTTGCTCAGCATGCCACCACCAGCCTGGGCTCTAGACAGCTGCTGCCAGCCATGAAGCCCAGGCTTTTCCCACCAGACAGCTGGGAGGCTACAAGCCCTGCTCCAAGCAGCCTGGGCAGGGAGGCAGCAGCTGTTTGCAGCCTCCCAGCTTCAGCCTGCCCAGGTTCTGGGTAGCTACTGATAGCTGTGGAGCCCGGGCTGCTCCCAGCAGGTGGCTGAGAGGCTGCAAGCCCTGCTGTAAGCAGCCCAGGATCTGTGGCTGGCAGCAGCTACCCAGAGCCTGGGCCAGCTACAGGTGGGAGGCTGCAAACAGCCCCAGCTGCCTCCCAGCCTCAGCCCTGGCCCCAGGCTCTGGGGAGGCAGCAGGTGCCAGCGATGTTCCCCAACCATGCTGCCCTCTCCTGCTGCCTCTGCAGACCAACGTGTTGAACCTGGTGTGGCAGGACACAGCAGGGAAGTGAAAAAAACCTGCCTACTGCTCTGAGCTCCCTGTTGCCATGGCCACACTTCCCCTGCAGGCAGGGGCAGCAGCGAGGGGCATAACCCTGCACTGCTGCCCACACTGTCCCTGTGCACACAGGGGAAGTGTGACTAGGGCAGTGCAGAGCTTGCAGCAGCAGGCAGCTTCCATGTCTGGCCCCTCTGTGTGCTGCTGCTCCAGGTCGCATATGCTGCACTCCAGAGGGCCCAGGGGAGGGCAGCAGAGCTGGGAAAATCTTTTAAACAAAAAAAGTAAGAAAAAAAAGTTAAAAAAAAAAAGTTTCAAGACCTGGCTAGACTTCAGAAAAGCAGACTTTGACTCACTCAGCAAACTCAGGGCAGGATCCTCTGGGAAGCCAGTCTGAAAGGGAGAGGAGTCCAGGAGAGCTGGATGTACTTGAAAGAAGCTTTACTGAGAGTGCAGGAACAAATCATCCCAATGCACAGGAAGACTAGTAAGTATGGCAGTAGGCCAGCTTGACTT